AAACATCTGCTTTACCGAACGTACACTTAGTTACCTAGTTAATGGCATGTTTTCGAAACACCATATTGTATCCATACATTGGGCTAACTCTAAAAAATCATGTCATCGGATTCGAAGATTTCGTTGGTCACCTTATGGTCTTCATGGGAGTGTCTGAGATGTCACACCACGAGAGATTTTTACGAATACATATTATTTCAAACAGAACAAGTCTGAGTTCATTGATTCAATGGTTATCGGAACAAGCTTTGTGTTGACCTGACGACTTCTAAAAATATTTGGGCATGTCGATATTTTTTGGCTTATCAACACAAAAGTATACATATATCCCCATTGTACTTAGCAAATTATATTGGTAAGCGCTGGAGGTGTTTGATCAAATCGGTATCTATTAAAACGCTTGCAAATCAATAAATTAGTAACTACACAAGACAACTTCACCATGCCCCAACCCCCCCCCCCCCGTTTGTTTGTTTTCGTCGTCAATAGCACGCAAAAAAGTCAAGTAATCAAAATTGTATCTGAAATAAAGTCAAGTAAAGGCCATAGCGTCGGTTATAAATATTGAATATCTCAATCAGCACTACTTGATTGGTGCGCTGGAATCGCGAAGGGAATGATAAGCCACTGATAAAATCCACTGCCATGAAACCAAGCACTACATTCGCCTGACCATTTTCTAATCAGTTTCTTTGCGGATCTCTCCCACGGATTGTCCCACCTTGATTCGACAGTCCGACTTTACAGTAAAACGGAACGAATCAAATGGAGCTTCAAAAATGAGTATCACCGTCGAGCCGAAATTGAACTGTCCAAAGTGTTCTCCTGTAGATTGAGGGAGAAGCCCATCAAAGTACAAATCGATGTATGAAGTGGATTCTGACCTCTTTGATTGTTTTTGCAAGTCTGGAACTTGGCTGTAAAATTTCCGTTTTGTGCCGGTTGTTGACGGTACATTGGTAACTAAGTGGGGGTCGATGTTCACCTCTATGCTCCCAACATTAGTTGCGCCCACCGCAATGTACGCGAAAAATCCATGCTCCCATCGACCCACATATACTACCCTTTCATTTAAACAGTAGAGGCCGTTGTGATGTGACAGGAAGTTCGGTGAAACTGGATAGAGTTTTCCTACAACAAAGAAGAAACATTAGCATGTACATTTTGTTATATACACAGCAGACAAAAAAGTTCGATGAACAGAATAAAAAAATTAATGCGTGGATGATCGACCAATTCATCAACTATGTGAAAAACTCGGAGAGAAATTTATTTTTCATCTCCACTACTTACGGTTACTTATAGATGAGAGCACATTCAATCCTAAATGTTAGAAGTTTGCTGAAAAGTGAACTCGATATTTATATAGTTGTAATTCACTACTCATAAGGTTGCTGAAAACTCATCGGCAGCCCACGACCGGTTTCGCCCTTCTTGGGGCTCATCAGTTAGGCGCAGTCCCCAAGTTTCCGTCAACTTTATGTTCTACTTGAAACCAAATTTCACGAAATTAGCGAAATACACTCAATTGAAAACGAATTTGGTTTTGTGAGGGACTCACTCGGAACCCAGCTGAATCTCTAGGTTTTGATGTTTCCAGGACCCGACATTGGTGAGTTTTGGAACGGGACGTTTGACTTCACATAACATGAAGGAAAATACCGCAATCGCTTAGGTGATCACTCACTCACCGGACAGGTGTTCCACCACCTGAGCCACTGAGGGCACCACCGAAGGTCACCAATAACCAACCGCGGACAAGATCCCATCTCCTTGCATTTATGCAGTAGTTCGTGCTATGCACATGCTCAGCCGTTTCGTTTCAGATTGCCATTTTTTACACTTTCCTTTTCTGCAAACAATCTGATGCTAGTAAGCATTATCACGTTTGAGCAGCCGCACGTAGTAGGTTATTGACTGGTCAAGACCATCTAGATTACTGATCCAGAAAGTGACGGCCATGACAGCTTAAGGTTATATCGCGCAGACAGTTGTTAACTCAGTGTATCAAGCCCAATCTCTGCATATTAATCTGGATCATCGCGTCACACGTCGGAGTTACCACAAGATAAAACAGCGATGGCTTCCTAGCCGAATAAAAAGCCACGTAGAAAATGTCGTAAAATACGGGAGTGATAAATAAATGTGGAACAGAGTGCTGAGTGTTTGAAAAAACTAAAGTGTATTGTGTGTCCGTCAGACTTTCTGGTTCAGTAAAATGAATTCCACAGTTGACAGGGTTTTTTTTAGCTGACTACGTGTCAACAATAAACACGGAGTGTTATTTTTATCATTTCTGACATATGTCGCGACTGAAACAAGATAGACGGATTCGGTATTAAGCCTAAACAACTCTGTGCACATCCCCACCCGCCGGTACTGGTTTTTTTTTCATTCGCCATTGAATCTATCAACAGTCCGTGTATCTCCCTTGAATAATCATTTCACATCCCTCGCTGTATGGTGCTGTTTTCTGACACAGTTATGTCACACTGAACGTCCCGCATCTCGTTGATTTGTAAAAGTGTTCTACATGTGGCTGGAAACCACACAATGCTACACGGGTGAAGAGAAGAAACATCCTCCAAAGGCAAAGTTCGTAGGTGGGTAACCATAAGGCCAGGATATGATTTTTCCAATCTGCTCCACAATGTCAACTTTCCGGTTTGACGGTTCACGGAATAACCGCATTCCTAAAGGGGTCTATCAGTCACCGGTATAGGTTGGAAAATATTCACCAGATCGAGAGACATTTGTTGATGAACAGTAGTTAGAAACAATTTTGGCATTCAGTTGTGGAGTGCATACGTATGTCCCCCCGTTTTTGTTGTCATCATTAACTACTGAAAACTATCAGGAACTCCTTTTATCTGTTTTCCGAACAAGCACAAACACGGGAGCTCATGTTAATGAGGTTTATTGTCGGCTTTTCCTCGATTTGCATATTAGAAAATCATGCTAAATTAACATCTGCTCCACACTATTTCTGCAACTGTTGTGGTTGCCGAAAATGACCCCAGATGACAGGTATTTGAACTTGACGTTCACATTATTTGGGAATGTTAGGGTGATCTAGTTAGCAATTTTCTGCCCATCTACCCCATCTTTGATGGTAACCGATATTTCCTGAAAACTTATTGGCTAGCTTAAAACCCCGCAACTACCGATTTCACTTCTGTGAAACCTAACCTGAATCACGCCTTACCTTGTGGACATACCTAATACCCAATATTCTTTGGCTCAGATTGTTTCCCGGTAGCCGGAAAAGATTATTTGTGCCCACCAATACATAACAGGATGCGACCAGTATCTTCACTAAGCTTTACATCAATGACAAACAGCTTCTCCAGTGTGACCTACCTTTCAAAATTAGCATCCTTGGGGAGTTCAGAAAAACAAATCTAATTTGCCAGATTTACTGTCCATTAATGACTTCATTGGTCACAAGCAATGGGATTTTCGTTCATGTAAGCCAGGCACCCGTATGGGTGTGAATAATTCGGAAAACGTTGTCGCAAACTCCCAACCCACAAAACTCCCAGCGATTCCCAGTTCAGGCTAATGACAGTCGGTGGGAATTCCTCACCAAAAGCAACCCTAAGTTTCAGTCGCTAGCACTTTTAAAGAAATTCAGTTACTCTAAAGGTGGGTCCACGGCTTGATTAAGTGGAAGAATGAAGGTTCGTTCAGCATTTCTATCATGGATAGTACAGTGATTGTTGAAGGAAGGAGCCATTTCAACCCTCTACCCTTAAATTCTTCAAGTCTACTGTGAGACCAACATACTGTGAGACTCAGTGTATATTGAGTACCTAAGACAAACACACTAGTTGGACGTTGATCACATTATCGCACAACAATACATCCGATGCTGGCTTGCGCGGTTCCCCGACCCCTCGGTTTTATCCCATTAACTCCTTTCTGTGAGCTCTCAAGTAGAAGAAGGTCATGCCTGTTTTGAACACTGCTTTCATATCTACTGGTTATCAGTGAACGACATGTATATTGCATGCATACGCGAATGTATAAACCATCGGTCAATTCCTCCTAGTAAGCAAGGACATCTGACAATACCAAACTTGCGAGCTTCGAAATACATAAACATATTAGGGATATGACGACTTCCGAGAGAAGTAAGCGTGGAGCTCACGTGCATGCGTGTCTTGTTATTTACAGCATAACCTTTGTGGTATTTTGAGGAACAATAGAGTGGATAAGCTGAGAACAATCAAAAGCTTACACCAACAAGTTGACCGGATATTGCAAAATATTGGGGGAATTTAGGCTCAGTTATGTGTCGAAAGATCCAGTTTACAAAATACTTCAAAAACTCACGAGTTAGTAGCGAAGCGAATCGCAAGAAATTTTCACAAATATTGAAAAGTGGAACAGCAGCAAATTAAAGTAATTTAAGAATGTCCGTCACGTCCCAAAAAACTTTTTACCGTCTGTTTCACGTCGAAAAAAGACCACTTTCAGGCGATTGTCTAATTGTGCTTACCAGAAAGGAGTAAGCTGGGGGTTCAGTGTATGACCGTCAAGGTATTCGGTTAGATTTAAATCGCTAAATAAGTTCGTTAGTTTTTTTGGTTGATCGGAAAGACAGACATTCTAGCGTGTTTTTGTTGCCCAGATGTTTTTCGAGCAAATCTCTTATGGGTTTGAGAAAAGACATTCAACCAGATGTAAGGTAACATTCAGCCTTCACTCTGTGAATTAGTTCAAAGAGCATACAAATTTGTTAGGACGCTTTCTTTACTTAACCTCTAGACCATCTTGGCGCCCAGACTGTACACCAGAAACCAGTTGACTACGATTCGACCGACACACCTGTTTACGCCTATTAAAGCCCATTACATTCTATTAACTTTTGCGCTTCTTTTTCCTACTTTCCTACTTGAAAGCGAGATTGCCTAGGAGGTTCTATGGGTACTGTGCCTCATTTGGAATCGAAAATGTTCAAATAGTTGCCTGAAATTTCTTGACGACTAAATTTTAGCTGTCGTCTTAATTTTACCTCAGATTGTGAATGGGATCTCGTCACCATTCCAAAAAAGACACATAAACCATTGCTGGTGACCGTTGTGAAAACATTGTCAGCTTAAAATCAACAGAGCGCATTGTGACCCCAGATGCATAAGTTACAGGAATACTGATCGAGGACTCCAGTAGGTCTGTCTGTCCCAGGTAGACCAATTTTGGCAGCTGATGTTCGAGTTGAACACCGGGACCCTTATCAGCCGTTTTCTGTGACCTTCAAGCTGAACAAACGCATGTGCAGGTGGACGACCTCCGGTACAGAACATGGATATTTCGAGATGCTTTCAAAGAGCAACGTGTTGACGAGTGATGAAGGTATTGAGGGGACAATCACACGTAGCATGTGCTAGCTGAAAGGGTTTTTCTGGAATCAACAGGAAGAGCGAATCGGCCATGGGCGAATGTAAAGATGGCGATAGTTACATTTGATTACTGTTCACGTGGGGATGCTGCTTTCCGCCTTCCATCCTCTGAGATACAGGTGTAATGTCTGAATGGAAGCTTTCGACTCTAACGTCAGCTGTAATCGCTAGTCCGTAATTCTCACTTCTAACACTGCGCGAAGTCCACATCAGTAAGATTATGTCACAACATACTACTTGGTTTCACAGCGTGCGACTTGAATTCCTAATTCAGTCCTCGTTTGAATTCATGATTGCAAGGGAAAAAAGCTATGATTCTGATATCGCCGTCGTATGAAGGGTTTCTTACCTTATTAGTTATTTAGGATATAGTTGGTTCAATACAGAATGCAAATAAAATTAGGGAGCCTGAATAAGCATTCTCAGTTCAGATTCATTGACAAAAAAGACTGTTCGTCTTTTATCAGGAAGAGTAACCAATGGGTATTTCTCTCTATTCTAAAGGAGCACATTTCGGGAATCGAACATTACTCCGCAGGTATAAGTGAGCTTCACTTGGGAAGCCTAAGACAAGAAGAACCGTAGTTAAGTAAGTTAATTTCACAAGTTCAATTCTGTTCAACTGTCAGTGAATTGCTTCAATGTGACGTCAGGAGAGACATTTTTTACGAGCATCGAACTAGGATTCTTTCGAACAAAAGGAACAAGACGTATCGGAAAATAGCGGCCATGATGATAGTTTCACTTTAGTTGAGTGTCGCTTCGAAAATAGCATGTGATTTTAGTCTTGAAACTACGTAAAGGCTTAAACAGCAAGATGACTCACCTGGGAAGTGTCTTCTCATGAAAATTGACCAGTTTGTCGGAGAGTGAAATCGGTGGTAGTCACCAGGAGCCAAGTAGATCAAAAGATGATAAAGTCCTGTCTTTTGCTCGTGTACCGCAACGACGTCTCTTGAAACAGGCAAAATTTTCGCTCCTACTCCCAAGTCCGCGGACTTAGTTCTTGCACGTCGAGATGCTTCGTTCTTGTTTTGACTTTCCATTCCATGTTGATTCTGATGCAGTAGAAGGCCTTCGGCATACATCATATCTTCCAGACGAAGATTGCAGGAAGACGCGTAGGATGATTTTCCCCTTCTTTGCTTTCGTTTTGGCGGGGTTTGAGTTTGGTCCTCAGATTTTACGAAAACAACCGGTAAGTTACCTGGTCCTTGACTTGTTATGCATGGCACATACGTTTTGCTAAGCTCGATACCGACAGGGTTGTGTTGAGGCCTCGACTCTGGTGTCATTCTCCCCCAAGTATTTGGTCCAAGTAAGCCACTCAAAGAGTAAAATATTCCTTTGACTTGCTCAAGATGACCAGCTTTAACGACACCACAGCTTAAGACAGTACCATCCGCGGGACTCACCTATGATATATAAATTAGGACACCATCACAAGAAATTGAACTACAGTTTCTCAAGGAAAGCGATAGTATGCTTCCATTTAGAATCGATGAAACTGTCAAGTACACGAGAACAAAAGCTAAGAATGAGTTCAAACACGGTCTGTAGTTCCATTTAGGAGTTTTGGTGTTTAAATACATAGTGTTGCACACAACGATGATTAATTTCCATGCGTATCAGGTTAGAGTTAGTATCGCTTAGTTGGTGGCGTGAAGATTGAAAAGTTTTAATTGGTTGATGCTGATAGGAACCGGACACGAGAGTATCATTTCAATTACGATCAATAATTGTGACTTTTTTCCATCTCCGTTACGGAATTGTATAAAAACCTACGTTCACGTGATACAAATGAGAAGACATAAGGACACCTTTACATCGAGGTACCTAGGCGACAGCCAACAAAATTACACCTTAAACCACATGAAGTCTTTTCTGCTGGGTCTTGCTCTCTTTGGAATATTCTTTTCTGCAGGGCTTCCTTCATTATGAGAGAGTGCGCATTACCCAGAAAGACAACAATCATCCTGGAGGTTCTTCATCAGATATATAAGAATGTATAAATAACGCTTCCTATGGTACAGTTGAATACGACTATTGCAGCATCGCGTAAGACCATCAGAACGATACATTTCACTCACAATAAGATGGTAGCACTTCTGGAAACCTTGGCATCTTTGAATTAATTCATCTCGTGATGAGACGTAAGGCTAAATGGATACTGTTTTAAGTTTCATCGGTGACAAGCATTGTTTGATTTATAGGACGCTTGAAAGATACATAACACATTATTAGCCCCAGTTGTTTTTCGCACTCATTGAAACGCATTTAAGAAATATGCTGACGATATCGTGACGCATAGTAACGTTACTTACTGGTCAGCCTCGTGCCGTTACTCCTATTTGGAAGGAAGCATTGGAATTCACCTTAAGGTCTGCGCACATTTATGTTCCAACATGGTCACGCGAAACTCACACTGACAGGAAGGAACTGGATGAATGATTCCATCCACTAGAGGGTGTACGAAGACAGTGTTGTATATCTACAGTTACCAGCGCAGTTTTTAAACTTTCAAGTAAAAACACTTGGAAAAATACTTGACTTGGTTCTGAAGATTCGATGATGGGTGAACAGAATCATTACTTAGCGCTTGTTCTCAACTCAGGTTTTTTGTCGAAATATTCCTAACCTGTGGTTTTTCTTCTCAAGGGGGAAAGTGCATAGGCAGTGAGAGTACCGATCGTGGCACTTTGCAACTTAGCCTGACTGGACCATTTGAACTTAAGAGTAATAGGGGGCAGTGCATTAAAATATGCATATCTATATGACCCGGAGGAATACTTATATTGAACGCGCATCACTATCACAAAACCATGTGCATGTAGCAGTCCGTGGAGAGCAGCATATGTGGGAAGGTAATAGACGTGACGCTCGCCTGCACTAAACTTTCAAGATGTTGTTATCTCAGGCATTCAGTCGGGCCCTAATTTAACATCGGCATCGTAAACCATGCTGAAATCGACAGGTTGCCATTCTTTGAAGCATTACCAGTAGAGAACAAGTAGGTCTCATTCTCTGCGGCGAGTCTTGCACACAGCATCCAAATTTTCGAAATTCTCCTCCAGTGTTGACTGGTCCTTGATTTACGCCAATCGGTTGGGAACTCGACATTCTGTCCGAAAATGCGCCTGCGTTAACAGAGAACTGTTTGATAATCACATCATTTTGGGTGCTTTCGTGTCAGCCTATACAAACTATGGTCCCGCTAAGTCGGCGATCAAAGACAGGTAGAAAGCGACGGTCATTCGTCGGCAGTGGGACAACCTTTTAATCACATCATTTGCACTATAGTATATAGATATAGTATGCCTTTGGGCACCAGGGGCGGTCAACTTTGACGAAGTGTTTCTGGCATCTACTAAGTCAGAAAAATGCATTCGATGGCCATAGGTAGCAGAGGATGGATAAACTCTGTGAGTGTAAACCACTTTCGGAGAATAGAATGAACCTGGTTAACGGCATTGAAACTACCTGTGAAGCCTTCTCATTTCCAAAGCTAAAAACAAGCTTTCCTGCACGTTGACAAGTTTTACTTCATTACCAATGTGAACGTTTACAGCATGGCTACCACATGACTGGTGAATACTGTGTTCAGGGTAGTCAGCTATGCTAAACCACTTGCTGTGGCCACCCAGTTGATCGATAATTCAGTCTGCCTAGATGAATCAATGATATGTCACGTGAATAGCTTGCATGTTTTGTCGCGTTTACTGACGCCTCAAGGAAACCAGAATTTGAAACTGTGAATCTGAATCTGTGGGAAATGCCTTGAGTGCTCGTCGACTCGATTGCATTACCATCCACTGGTTTAAAACCGTTCATCTTAGGGAAGTCAGTCCGGCCACCTTGATTTGCAGATAACCGAATTCCAGTGTCACTCTTCATAACGAATTACACTTGACAAACCAATTAAAGGAGTATCCATCAGGTAGCCATGTGAAATATGCAAACCGTTCGCCAGTGCGACCTGCCACATTTAAAGTGCTTTGTAACAGAACGAAGCGAAGAATGAGCAGGTAATTCCTCCTGAAATAGAACACCTGAAACTGGAGGTACAAATCTAACCGTTTTTCCCGTTTCTTCACCCTCACACTTCATTTCCTATCACCGAACACAATTGAGGTATCACATTACTGGGAATGTGGATTGCAATCGGAGAAGTTTATCTCCTCCAGAAACCTATCCACCAACAGGTTAGAAGATCGTTACTTTCAGAGTCCAAAGACGAAGAATCTATTAGAATCTGTTGAACATATGAACACAAAATGTAAGTTACAACGATCTTTTTGATTAGAAGTTTGGACACTCATGTGTAAATAATAGAAGGGATAATCATTGTCAGCCCTGTCCTATCCCAGATCAGGAATGGGCAAAAGCCCCTCACAAATTAGGCAACTTCAAACACAACATTTTCTCGTGGATGTGAAGTCTTTCAAAGTAGGAAGTTGATGGAGATTGTCAGTCAGTTAGGTTTTTAGGAAAAACTAATGAAACTGAGCTGCATTCTCCAAGATTTAATTGCTTTTCACGGATGTCATTGGGTCGGGCCAGCATAATGTAGGGTGAAGTAGCTATGACTCTTCTCTTATACCGTGAAACTAAGGAAGATACAATGAAATAAGACAGAGTTCCATCTTCGCTAATGGGTCCGACTCACGAGCGTAATGTTTATGATTCAGCCGGGGTGAAATCAGTACTAATTTTGAATTCGTGTCTTTTCACAATCCCCAAGAGGCCATCTTCTCCGTTCGCTACTGGAAAGGACAGAGGTTGACAGTATTCCAAAGCTAGTCCTATTCGACGAATGAGAAATCCTGAATATCTTAGCAGCCTTTTTGGATCACAGCCGTCTGACAGGCTACCATGTTTACTGTGTGAGCCCGAACTCTACTCGGCGAATTCATCAATATCTGATGTTTCCTGGTAAAAGGGATTGCTGCAATCCTGAGCCATATGACGGAGCTGACGCCCTTAATTCTGCTCCACAATCTGTAAGAACATGGTTAGATGATTTTCTTACTCATGAAATACGGGAAGAACTTTTACGAAGAACTTTTACGAATGGGACCAACCTGCATCACTTACTTAGCAGTATTCTTGTGGATGTGAGCACGCGCACTGGAATGCGCTCGAGGTCTTGTTCGTTGGGACGAATAGGGTAATCACAATGTGAGGGGAAACAAGCAAGGCCCGCGCTTTTTGTCTTGTTGGAATCAAATGACGTGTGAACTAATTATGCAACACATCTTTCACCGTTCTGTTTGGTACTGCTTCGCCCAAATATCAGACGTCCACGATTATAATTTACAAAGTCAAGAAGCTCAAGAGTGTGTGGAACGAGTTTGCCAAGAGCAACGCATTTCAAGTTCACCCATGCCTTACTACTGCACCACAAGTGCATCGAGCTGTAGTGGAAACTTCACCTAACAACTATGCTCTCCGCTAGATGTTTTAGTGTTTTGTCCGCCAACTGAACTGATTTCCTCTGTAACTAACCGCCTTCTTTTCGTTGTCATGTACGGAAGTTCAAATTCGAACTTAGCGCTGACCAAAAAGAATCATTAACGGTTTGACGCAAGATCCGGTCAGGTAAATGTACATATTTAAGCAAGATCCTATGGATAACAGGTCGCTAAAAAGCAGAACCAACGCGTTTATGATACCAAGATTTATTCATCCACTAAAACTGTAAGCTCTGTTTTCTTCAACAAGAGCATAAGACGTAAAGAAGTACTCGCCAGTGCAAGCCATAGATCTAATCTAGTTAGTATCCTGCCGAGGCATGTATCACCAAAGTTGTTAATTATCAAGTAGTCCTTCCGAATTCCACGTTAGTCGACCTAATGTGCTGGGGACTGCTAACTAAGTGCTCCAGATCAGTTGATGAAACTCAAGACCACAAGCGAGGCTACAAAAATAACTAATTGCAAGTGGAAACCAAGCGATCAACGCTAACCATGACCAGTTAACCCCTGCTACCAGACTTGGTGTCATGCATACAAAAAGCCCGCCATTTTCAAGTCGCGGTTGGGCTTGAGTCATGCGAGCGACATTGACTGGAACTGCTCTCCTCAAGGTGAAACTATATCACAAAGACCAAAAAGGAGCAACCAGACAAACAGCGGTCGGTTTATCCGGCTATAGCAATGACCATGAGCAGGGACGCGTTGGAGTCCGACTGACTGTCATTTCTAGAGGGAGGAAAGCTTCAATGACTGGAACACTTAGTTGTCGGGTTAGTGACTGGGTGACTTACTAGGCTGCTCATCGACCCAATAGAATCTTTTACAGAATATAACTAGGGGTTCGGAGAAATATGTCTTCTACGGTTTCTTGCTAGGTCTTTTACACGGAACACCGAATTCCAACTGGAGACTGGAGACATGAGAGGCCAATCTAATCGATTTTCGCCGACAGGAAAGTAAGCTGATGGTATCCTCCTTGCCCGCGCACAGTTTACAGACAGTTGTGACACTGTGTGACCTATATGTATCTGGGAGTTCGTACTCTACCAGTATGGCGTTGCAGTACAGAATTTGACATTGCGCCACATGAAAGTCAGCGCGTCTGATGACAACTATGATACACGCTGGAAAACACTGGAATTGATATGCTTATCCTCGTTTGACTGCGTACCAGCAATTGTTTGTTCTCCTCATTTCAGTGGAAGCGACAATTTTGCAGGTCCAGAGGAGCCGAGAATTCAACTTCTAAGAAGTATATACGATTAGACCGTATATTATCCTCATAATGATGCCGAATTCGTACAGACAGCTAACCTAAAAATTCCATCAAACGATACGATAGACAACGCACCTCTTTTGACAAGCATTTTCTTGCAATACCTATGAAGCCTCCATTCTGTTGCATGAGAACTCAGAGATGTGTGCATCACCTGGAGCCTGAATAGTCCTATTTTGTCAGGCCATTAGGTTTGAGGATTTGAAGAGCAGTCCTTGCAAAACTAGCGTGAGTTACTGGGATGCAGAAATGACAAAACTTAATGGACATTGGGTATATCTCTTTGAGCTGCATCTTTAAAAAATCCGTCCCCATCGGTAAGGTATGTGCATATGAGTTTCAATCTGTAATATCACAACAGACTATAAGGGAAAGTAGTTATGGAAGTTCCTGTAGAAGCACGCGAGTTTTTCCGATATACTATCACCAGAAATCAATCCCTAGCAAAAACGACTGCGTAATTGCTTTTGCGTCAAAACATCCTTGTATTTTTTAGTCGAGTTCTTAAGATTACATAATAGGAATTCAAAATTGTGTGGACAGACATGAAGATTCATTGTCAGGTTAGGGCGCCGTAAGTTATACTAAACTTAACTTACATATATTTCGAGACATCCCTACTAGAGATCGAATCATCTATTAATTCCTGTCGAGATATTAATATTGCTGTCCGGCAGCTGCAACTTTTGACCAGTGCCGGAACGCCTTAACATGAAACAGAGTGTGGTAGTAGCGAATCAATGAAAGTCACATGACCGTATCGTTGTCTAAGACCCTACGTCAACTTAGAACCCACGAAAAATCTAGGGGAATCGTGTGTAGATTTACTGACCCCACCGGAACAAAGCTTTTCCGACTGTAGGAGGGTACTGCTTTTCTGAGCTGAATTAGGGCAGGAGATATTGACTATTATAAATTCGACATAACGTGGCATCCGAACATGCGGAGCTGCCGTAACAAAGTGCCGTTCAGTTACACAGACGAGTCCATTAAATGAACCTAGATTTACGTTACTACACCCAGACCACCATCGATTTGGTCTAAGGATAAACCGTATTAAACCTTCTAGACAAAGAAATACACTATTCAGTGAAGGCGAGGAGACCATAATGCTTAATAAAGAGAAATTTAAAAAAAATAGACGACATTTGTATATCACTCTCCAGCTTGTCTTGAGCTCCGTCACTCACGTCACGAACACACTTTACTGTTAAGGGCGCTTGACCCCAAGGTAGCAGGACTACTGTGGTTTGTGGTAAGACGTTTTAGAGACGGATAATGTTCGTGCTATATAATATAACGATAACTGGTCATTGTGACTACTAAACCGGGCAATCTCGTAATCGGTTCAAATATGGACGAACTCCCTACTCAAAAGTCCCTATTGACGTGTCCGTTTTCATGTTCGTTCGCTGGACGCTGACTGTCCACGGGTTCGGCCAGAATATCAGATTGAGTATTTGTCCGACTGCTCAGCTGATCAGCAAGTGAAGAACTCATGTTCTCATCTGATGTTGCTGCCAATGATAATGATTATGATGTTGACAATAATGACGAGCGGTCAGTCAACTGTGTTAACATGCAACTGTGGCTTATATTACCCTACCAAAACAAAAAAGGACCCCATTCAAACCTACAGCGAAAAAGTGAACAAATTAGGTTCCCGATCTACCGACTGTTCCGTAGTATGCTTTCCATGCAATCCTAAGAATGAAATAGGGGTAGGTTGGTGTCAAGCGGTCCATTCCTGACAAGGGCAATAAAGTATTAGTTGTCTTTGAACCACGAAAACTCCTCTACTATCTCTGGTGGACAGTCCGGAGTCCATAGAAACACCCGTAGATATACAAAAGGAGTTGAGCGCAACTTACCAAACAAGCACTGGAATCCACGACACGAGCAGATGACGCAAGCCGTCTCAGAAAAAAAGCTGAAATTGTGTCGTATTTTGTGAGATCATCGCGATATTCCGATTCGCTTAGTTGCACTTTGAACAGCCACCCGTATGCTCGGAAGACCGGTTCACGCATCCAGTAAGGAAGTCGGATTCTCGCTATCCTCCCCACCAACCTTGAAGTTGTTCTCAGTGGTAAATTCCGGAAAATTATTTTCAGTAGATATATTATGCCTAACCAATAAAGTAGGTAGTAGATGAACGCCGAAACCGTGACCTGGCGGAAGAGATTAACGCAATGCCATCCACTGAGGCCATTGTTGTTCGTAGCGTGTGTGGCAGCGATTGGCGGCCCTGTGTCATACAACCCCCCTCCCAATGGTTCCAATGCGGAGAAACGGCTTTGTCCGACGGTTTTACCATTCTTCGCTCTTCTCCTTTCGAGAGTATTGGTCGTATTCCCCATCAATGGGCCTGAATCTGAAACATCTTTGCAAAGCTCACTGCCAGACGACTTGTGATCCATGTTATTTTTCTGAAGTATGTCATGGGTTCAGGAAGCAGCTTGAGGAATTGCACGAATTCTCAGCTGCTCTATTGCGTCGGCTAAGTGTCACGATTATTTGTGGCCGTTTGCTGGCTCAGAAACTGCTCATTTTCATACCCCAAGAGGCAGATTTGGAAGCGGCTATTCAATGGTCTTCCGAAAGCCCACACCTAAACACAATGGGCCTGAATCTGAAACATCTTTGCAAAGCTCACTGCCAGACGACTTGTGATCCATGTTATTTTTCTGAAGTATGTCATGGGTTCAGGAAGCAGCTTGAGGAATTGCACGAATTCTCAGCTGCTCTATTGCGTCGGCTAAGTGTCACGATTATTTGTGGCCGTTTGCTGGCTCAGAAACTGCTCATTTTCATACCCCAAGAGGCAGATTTGGAAGCGGCTATTCAATGGTCTTCCGATAGCCCACACCTAAACAAATGGGTGCTGTTTTACGTGACTTGAGGCATCAATGGCTTGGTCAATCGGAAACAACTAGCATGCTGTTCTGTGATTGGCTACTGTTTGCCCTAGATATATACAGCAAATTCATTGGTCAGTACGCGTTGCATCGCATTACCGCACCAGTGCAACCACTGAGCAATTGAATTCGGGCTCGTGACAGACCAAATCGCATTTGATTATGTGGCCATGTCAAACCAGGAAACACTTGCATGTTATTGAAACGACGGATCTCGATGGTAGTTCTCCGTCTTTCCGTAACCTACTAAAACTGGTAAACCATCTACCAAAACAAAAAAAAATAGCTAGAACGGTAGCAGTAGAATCAGCCTCATTTCCACAGGTAATTGATGCGACTGCAATCGTTGTTGAGTTTTCTGTGGTACTGACAAAAAACAACATGGATGCTCACCACAGGTCAATATATTAAATTCGAAGGTGGGAGTTTCCGAAACGGAATTCCAACTGCATGATCTGTGAGAATAAAATATGACACCGACAACTGTGCAATATTGCGAATGTGGTTGTGCTCACCACTTACTAGATTACCCCCTAATTTTGAATCATTTAAGCGTAAAACTTAACAGTGGAACTCGTCAGTTATTACTGAATACTCGCCGTAATGATATTAAAAACTAACCGTTCAGCTGTGTCGCCCTTTCGGCTTCTAGTTAACATGCCACCCGAAGAAAGCACGAGGACAGAGGTATCAACAAGTTGCCCAAGCCTAGACAGACGCAGGAGCTGCAGAGGTTGCATTCGAAACATGGACCCTACGGTATTCAAATTTACGCCTTAACTACCAAGTTATTTCGAGGTCTTGATCCCTATTTCGAGGAAACGCGTGGTAGAATTGTGTTGTCTTCCCTGGTTAAACTTATTACAGGATACGCGAAGTAAATCTTAGGTGTAAAGTAGTGGGACATACTCTCTGGGGGCTGTGGTTACCGTTTGAACTTGAAGATTTATAATGACAGTTAGAAGCAATATATTTTACAACTTCACTAACCAGGGCAGATGTTTCTGTATGAAAAACTCCTCAAGCTCGACTGGGTCTTCAGACAAACATATTTGTCGTCCCATGAATTTAAACGTGGCTTCCTATCACACCCACCTCTTCAGCCCATAGGTCACCTTCAGTTGTCCCAAAAAGTTACTCGTTTCGAAACTGATACCGAGGAGGAGGTCGTTTTTCTTCACGAGGTCCTATGCCAATAACTGAAGAAGTTCGGGAAGACATGTCATATTTGTCTTCGTCTGCTTCTGGTATTTCTAGATAGTTTCTTTATGTAGATCTTCATGAAGGGACGAAAATGTGTCCAATATCCGAACTGTTTGGGCACTGCTGTTCTCACACACATTTAACCAGCAGACTAACGAAAAGTAAGCTTTAATCTGGGAATGTTACACGTTACGGATTACACTTTGTAGTTTACCTGTTTCTTACCAGGGCACGGACGAAACTAACGTAAATCCTGTATATATTTGTAATGCACTTTTGGGACGAAACCCGTCGTGGGCTGTCGACGGATTTTCAGCGACCTTATGAATAGTGCATTACGAATATATACATGTGTCGCGATATCTCGAATATCGTAGAGACTGAAACATGAGGCGGCCTGGTGCAGCACATTGAGTTTCCTGGAAACATCACAAGCGAGAGGTTCCAGGTGAGTGTCTCGAAGAACCAAATTAGTTTGCAAATGAGTGTATATTCGCTAATGTAGATCCTGTTCTGTTCCGTTTCATTGTACACATTATACATCTCGGTAATAGTGTATTCATTTCCCTCTCTAGGTGTCTCCATTCTACCAACATTCAGCCCCCATCGTTATTTCATCTTAAATCAGCTACCACAGCTTCAATGTAACTTGCTTTTACCTGTCTCAGTGACCCGACACATCGCTACTTATAATGTCATTGGAAACCCGTAGACAGTCCACCACTTTATCTTGAATATTGTTGCGAATGAAAGACGGGCAGCTATGGTGCGCCACACTGAGTGAGATTTTCGATTGAATTCATCGCTATTTTCAACTAATTTTGAAAATGCGCGCTTAACTGCTCATAACCCAGCAACTTTTGTATTGTCTCTGAGCCGCCGTATCCAATAAACACGAACTACAGGACTTTTCAAACTCCCAGCATAACTTGCAAAATGTGATCCTACATTTCTGAGAATAAAACTGGAGTAAATCACCCCCCTTAGCCACTCACGTTAGTCCTTTTCTGAATCCACTTAATAAACGCGAATTTGGTATAGGCGAGCACTACCTCATAGAGAAGCATCAGGTCTCATCACTATTTAGGCTGTACACTTGCACTCCGTTAGTGTTTCCTGTCTCACGTGATGGATATGTGGTCGAACCAAACGCATATGCACTACAGAAAGAACTGAGTAATGCAATTCATTAGTGTATCAGATGCACTTATGGTAGTTCACCGACAAATGAGTCCATGTAATAAACCTTTCCCATTGTGACCTTTCCCACTGAGGAGTGAGCCAGTCATTTGACGGAGCCGAATGCATATCCTCTCCTATTCGTAGAGGATGGTTGTCTCTTCGGTTTGGGGGTGTTTAAAAGAAACATCTTCACTGACTCCATAACTGCCTCCTCGACAGACTATTTGATTTTCAGGTGTTCCTGTGAAGGATGAGACTAGGATCTTAGTTTGGGAAAACCAAACACTCATGGGGCTAAAGTTCTTACTGTGCCAATTTTAACCGAAATTACCGCAGAAATATAAGCAATTTTTATCCAAGGCGCAGTGTTTATTACTTATGCACCAATTCTTCGCCTGACGGTTGAATAGACATAACAAAGTGTTGAATCCCTTGCTTCAGCATGCTTATTATTCATCACTTTTTACAACAAGTGGACATTGTTTAGTTCCTGTGATATCGGCAAATCATTCATTCAGGTTATCAACAAACCAAACGCAGTCTCATTCAACGGCTCATTCATTGATTCGTACATAGGGGTTCCAGCCCAATCGATCCTCGAAGCAACTAGCCCCGGCTAAAACCCATCCGTGCTTCTCTGTGACACCGGTCTCTCTTACCGGACAGTAGTTGATTGTGATGCGACTGGTTCCGACGACATGGTGACTGCCTCAGCTGAAGTTTCTATCAGTACTCTTATAGTATTTCACCCGTGATTCTTACCTATTTGCTTCACATTTAGCCTGACTGTTTCGCTTGGTTTTCCCATATCTAGTACAAAACAAGCAAGCTTGTTTTACCAGGCAGTAATCTCAGTTTACCGACTTCCGTTTGAACATCAAACAGGCGACGCAACATCCATTGCTCCCCTAATTTCTGCGACTTAAACAATTTCAACATGTCGGCAATGTGGACGAACAATGGAGTCAATCGGTACGACAGCATTAGACAGTTATCCCCTGTTGGATGCAAGCCCAAGCACGCCACTTAGTTATCAGCGTTCTATGTGGAAAGAAGTCCAACTTGCTTCAACTAACCAGGAACGATTGACCTAATAAAAAGGGGTTTGAAATTGGACTTCCCATTTTGTTGGTGTGTTGTAAAGTTCGGCTAGCAGCTTCACAGTTCTGAAGCTACGTGGATAGTAAGACTGGTATGTAATGCCGACGGCCTAGCGACGGTCAACCATGGTAGAAAAAATCAGCTTCGAGAATTTTTTTGTTCCGGTTTATTGTAGTCAATATTCCAATGCTTCGGTGGAGTAAATGCAAACGCAAATGCTAAAGTCTCTTAATTGACAGGTCTGCTGTGCTTCAGTCGCTCTTTTTCGGCACCCAGAACATATTTACTGACACTCACACAGGCACACAATTCGTGTAAGCCGTAGGAGTAAATGCAAACGCAAATGCTAAAGTCCCTTAAGTGACAGGTCTGCTGTGCTTCGGTTGCTCTTTTTTGGCACCCAGAACAGATTTCCTGACACTCGCACAGGCACACGATTCGTGCAAGCCGTTACCTGCTGAAATACCCAAGGAGAGAAACAAGGGGTGAAGTTTGACAAATAGACTCACATTCTGATTTGGTTTTCACGGAAAACTAACCTGAAGCCCAGCTGACTCCTTCGTTTGATATTCTTCAGCTAAGCATGCTGCGCTAGGCCACCACATGATTCAGTTGGTACTATATTCAAGATATCCTAGTATGTTTTCATAGAGGACATTACTCACAATGTTGCTGAAACCCTTCGAAAGCTCACCACCGGCTTCGCCCTTCTTCAGGCTCATTGAGCAGGCACATTCATCGAATTTCCGTCAAAATTGTATTCTACTTGAACCCAAATTGGACAAGAAACAAATGAAACCACTTTTTCATTGAAAGTCGATAGTGAGAGCGATTGTGTATCTTCACAGACTAAAAAATAGCACCTTGTCAAATACCACATTGTCTATTGATTTTTTGGGTCATCCACTTTGCCAATTCGCACTGGACAGCGCACGTACTGCAGCAAACAAGGGATGGGGTGAGTTCACCAAATCACTTGAATTACCGAGCCAAGTTAACTATTCTGTGTGGTTTCAGTAAGTAAGTTTGACAGCAAACAAGGGATGGGGTGAGTTCACCACTTGAATTACCGAGCCAAGTTAAGTATTCTGTGTGGTTTCAGTAAGTAAGTCTGAAAAATTTCAGTTTTCATCTCACAACATTACCCTATCGGGCACCGATTGATCAGAATCAGTGAGTCACAAGTCTAATTTTTTCGTACACGAATCCAAACTAATACGACTGACTTGCTTTTGAACTTTATTTCGCCGGAGATAAAATTGGAAGGAGCAGTTAAATGAAGGTGAAATTGTTGCAGGCACAATTCAGCGGGGTTTCTTTTCTGTCGCTTAGTCAATCTTTCCATCCGAATACACAGGAAGGACGGTTTGCAACTATGGGCCGGACGTCTATCTTTTGCAAAGTGCGGGTATATTGACGTCTACATTCGCATACATATGCCTGGAAAGAAGCCT